TGTCACATGTTTCTGAGATAAAAACAGTCACACAGGAATTTTGAACTTTAACTGCTGTTCTGAACTAAAAATATAAAACTCATTGTTATAAAACATGCCAAAAAGTTATGCTAAATTACTTCATATTAACTTTATGCATGCTTTATTTTTCAGAGATGCTTTTCAATTCAAAGTCAAACCAAGAAGGAATTCCTCTGGGAACAATTTTAAGCACCCAGTTGAATGAGAAACAAAAGATTTCCAAATGGCATAAGTTCATTATTTAATGTACTTGCTTTAGAGAAATGGTCCTCTACTTTAAGCCATATCCCAGTCCCTTTCCCAGGAAGAAGTGATATTTTCCAGGGAGGAAACAAGAAAAAACCTCATGAAAATTAGTTCATGAAAATTCTATGAGAGGTAGGCATAAGCCAAATATGTCTATACACATATATGAAAATAAATTTTAATATTTCTGCCTCTACTTTCATAATCCTGGAATATATATGTCAATAATGCCTTATTGAATAAATTAATAAGTTTCAATGAAAAGTTCCTATCACTTGAATTTTGGTTCTAAGCCATGCATTGGTTATTATAGACATGTTGAAAAATCATGGCTTTACCTAATAAAACTCAATTGTTGGCCAGTTTTTAAAAGTTTGGTTTTTTCAAGTACCAAATGTGATTCATGACTACAATAAAACAACTTCTTTTATTCAAACTACAACATTGATCTGTATTTTATTTTTAGGTCTCCTTTAATCTGAACTTCTGATATTTGAAAAAATATATATACAATCCAAGTGTCTATCGAAACCAGTTCATTAGGACATAAAACAACTCATTTGAGATGCATTTTGGCCACTTCAAGGTACCAAAACTTGAAACACATTTAGGGCTGCATAGAATACAGAAAGGGTCCAAAATACAGAAATCTGCTCTTGGGGTCATGGATATGAGCTAGATGTTACTAAATCATGTTTTCAGACAGGTCAATTCATGTACTTTGACAGAAAGCACAATTAATGCAATATAAATCTTCCACTCAATAATCTATACTTTTTTTAAAAATAAGCATTTTGCATCTAGGGAAAAAATGAAAGCTCTGAGATGAAGTTAGTAGAATTTAGCCTGCTTGCATAGGAAATACACCAAGAGGACAAAACAGGAAGCATATATATAGGCACATTAGAGTCACCAGAAAATTTTAAATTGCTTCTTTGAAACAGATCATCAGAAAAAATGGCCTGATTTCTAATTCTGTGCCCATTTACCAAAGAGTCATTCATAACCCTCATCCATCTGCAGATGGCACTTCCGATGCTCGGGGAACGGCAGCATCATAGAACGGTTAGCCCTTGGGCTTTACCGGGGTCAGCCCTCCAGTATGTCCTGAAGGATAGAGAGTTTCTTTTCTAGCCGAGACGCCCTGCTTTGAACATTGCTGTCATTCTATTAACTCTTATTTCCTATGCCACATTGAAGATCATAAAACTCTTCTGGGAAAATTCTAAAAACCATCCATCACACTCTATCAGTTCTACTTATCCTGCAGCATGCATTTAAACATGTCTACTCTCGAAATATGGGATGGTGAGAGAGAGAGACCCAAGAGAGTAGGAATGCATAGTGGTACCCCTACAACTAGAAAAGAAAACCAAAGCCAGCCACGAGAAAGCCAGAACCTCATTAACCGCAGATTTGTCATTCCGGTGAAGACAAACAAAATAAAAGCTTTTATTCCTGTACCCAGGTGTATAATTTCATCTCTCTGGCAATAAAGCTATGGGTGTATGTTCTATGCCCATTTTATTCCAAGGGGGTGGGTGTGATGGCAGGAGATGAGGCATCTTCCAAGCATCATCAGTTCTTCTAGCCCAGTAAGTGATATCTACACTGAGCACTCATGCCCTCAAAAGACATCACAAATCTATAATGAATAAACTTTTGGAATTCCACTGCCTTTTTCCTTGAATTTTCCTGAGAAGAAGAGAGCAGGTCAGCCTCTGTTTATGTCAAAAGAGACTCATTTTCTGCCAAGGAGGAGCTCATCTACTGAAACAGTCTGTACCACCAAATTTGAGGACACCCTCCCGATGCCATCCTACTTAAAATAATAGGAGTTGAACGAGGCTGCTTCTAACTGGGTGCTTATATATTAATAAAAATTAAACACAGAGTTGAAGAAGAGTGAAGTTTATGGAAAATCGGCGAAGTCGTCCTAATTGCCTTTAAACGCAGGCGTCCAGTCCTACGGCGCGTGAGCCGGTCCCTTGCGTCTCCAGGATCGTTGACAGAGAACTCAGCTCGGTATTTAAGAAACAAGATCAGAACGTTGTCTTTCTCTTTTTCCTACTATGTCCCCAACACTGTTTCGTGGTATATAGTAGTTGCCCGATACATATTTATTGAAAGAATGACCTGGATATTTTAAAGATTGTGTTATAGTTTTGCCTCTTTCATTTTCCTATATTCAATTGTTTTTGTGTTGCAGAATTTGCCTGTGACATGAACGTGAATGTGAGGTGAAAAATTAAAATGAGTAATATGAATGAAAACTGGTAGGGTCACCTCCTTCGGGATAGACAGCAAGAGTAACAAGGAGCATCGGGAACAGGCCGCAGGTGAGGCCGGGCAACAGCGCGGGTCTGACTCGGAGACGGCGGTTCTGGGGCCTCCAGGAACCGACCCCTGCGCAGGCCAGGACACTCCGCAGACCAAAGCCAGCCCATAAGCAGGCTCAGCCACCGTCATCCGGGAAACGTCAGTGAAAGATGCCACGAGCCCAGATTCTCAACGGGCAAAGCACCTTCTTGACACATGTAAAAGACACCGGAGAATCGGCAGCTCTCTTTCCCATGACTCCTACTTATCCCTCGCGTGACATCTTAGCCGTCAAGACCCCGGAGCCTCCCAAGCCTGCACTGCGCACACCTCACGTGGCACAGACTCGCCAAGGTGGCCCAGGACGCCTGCTGGTTTAAACTCTGCGAGCGCCGTCTGCGCCAGGCCCGTCTGCTTGGACCCGATGCCAGCTCCGCATAAAGGACGAAGGGAGGAGGGAGGAGAGGGAGGGAAGGAAAATAGCAAGGGAGGGAGGAGGGGAAGAGTTTGGTTGAACATAAAGACACATTGAAGTATTGCTTCCCTCTGAAAGAGCAGTTCTCATTCGAATGCCTTCGCAGACTGGGCACAGCCCGCTTAGTGTCAGCAGAAACAGAACCCTCACGAGGCTGTCGTTCCCAACCCAGTGCCTAGAAGCCAGAGGCGACAGCCCGGTGGAGCTTACAGAGTGTTTTGCCGCGTCCCACGATACACTCAGGAAAAAGCCTGAGGGTTTTAGTTTGTTTGTTTTTTCTGGGTTTTTTTGAGACAGAGTCTCGCTCTACTGCCCAGGGCTAGAGTGAGTGCCGTGGCGTCAGCCTAGCTCACAGCAGCCTCAAACTCCTGGGCTCAAGCGATCCTCCTGCCTCAGCCTCCCAAGTAGCTGGGACTACAGGCATGCGCCACCATGCCCGGCTAATTTTTTCTATATATTTTTAGTTGTCTGGCTAATTTCTTTCTATTTTTAGTAGAGACGGAGGTCTGGCTCTTGCTCAGGCTGGTTTTGAACTCCTGGCCTTGAGTGATCCACCCACCTCGGCGTCCCAGAGGGCTAGGATTACAGGCGTAAGCCACCGCGCCCGGCCTACATGAGGGTTTTTAAAAACAAGTTTCTTCAAGCTGGGTCATCCACATTGTTAATAATGCTTGCCCTTCCCTGCATGCGGGGAGCAGTGCCAGTTGTTCAGCTCTGGGTCTTCTCGTCGCCCGACTTTTAATTTTAGCTCCTTCGCCCCCCATAACAAACTCTCCCAAGTCTGCTCATATCAATGGGAATCATAACGTTAACCATGAACACAGTTAAAAGGACCTTCTGAAGGGGACGGGGGACGGTGGGGAAAGCGAAGACCAGTTATAAGCACGGCTTGCCATAACTATTCAGTTATGCGGTTATGCCTACAACATTTTTAATTAAACTTTTAAAGTGTTTTCCAGGATATAAGCTAGAATACAGTTGGAATTTTCTCTTTTACTATTGACCATAATAGCAAAAAGCTTCATAATTGTCCTCTGTCCAGCAACTCGGTGACCATGGCTGGTGGAGCATGCACGTAAGAATGAATACAAGCTTTCGCTTTCTTCCCAAAGAAAATTACAGAAGCATCTGTTTCTTACTTCTGCATGTTCCTCTCTGATGAAGAAAAGGTTACATCAAAACTTTTCTAAAGAACTAAGGCAACAACAGTGACACGCTCACTGCAAGTAAAAGGTAGAAATCACACTTTCAAGCCATCATTCACACATTTGTGAGCAAGGCTTCTGTGGCCAGGGTCCATGCTACAAACCTGAATCTCTGAATTTTGGACTGTGTGCTAAAGGTGGCAGACACAATTTATTGTCATAATTCCCCCCATTCCACTTTTAAGAATAGAATATCAATTCAAAACTGTGCAATGTCTATGGATACACTCGGGCATCGTATAGCATGGAGACCACACATACGCGCACGTACGCTTGAGGGGGCTTGGTGGCTAATACATCTTTCAAATCCATCTGGCATGTTCCCCTAACCCCACCATTTCATTGCTCTTTCGTGCAAGTGATCACGAACAGTAGATCTAAATTTGGCACATTTTAAGGTCAAGTGATGCAGCAAACAGAATCTGACCTCAAACAATACGCCTTTGTCCATTCACTCGTCCACGAAAACGTGCACACACACTGCACTTCGCTTGCTGCAAGTTCATAAATCTTCGTCCCAGAACATTACTTGCTTCTTCGTTGAATGCTTGCAGAAAAGACATCTGGATGTGTGCGCCTCCCCCTCCCCCGCCCCACACCCCCAAGCCCTCAACACACACGCACAGCTGTAAGAGCAAGGAAAGCATGTTTTTAAAATTCCATTGGTTCATGTAGGCACAGAATCTGAAGCAGCTCCAAAATGGACATCAAGTTAAAAATATATATATATATACCAGTTTTCAAAAGTCTGTAATTATGTATTTACACAAATTACATAATTCTGTATGTATTTACATACAATTACAGATTATCAAGTAAGTAACACAATGTTGTAGTGTTAATGAGATGAGATAGAATGAAAACACCATACGGAAGCCACCCATTTATCTACAAAACAGGACCTGGCAAGGTAGGTTCCCCAAGACTGACTTGGCATGTTCTTCAGCACTGCTGGGGGACATTCATGTGACAGAAGGAGAGGTGGTTCAGTCCGTACTCGGTAAGTCTTTGACCATGTGCAAGTGTTGGCACCAAAAAGATAGTGGTTTAGCTACATGAGCAACTGTTTGTGAAACTGGGGCCACCCACTCTGCAGGGGCTCAGGGCTGCCATCCAGCAGGCTTTGGGTCTCTCAGGACAAGAACCAAGGCAAACCCACAAGCTGGGGATGACTCGCTGGCGCTACTGCCCAACAGACAATGCCCACGCGAAACCCTGAGCCATCTACTCTTCCAGAACGCCTATTCACATAAATTGCATAAGTCAGTATTTATTTATTTACAGACCATTACAGTTTATTGTATCAATTGCCAAAAGCATATAACATTTTGCTTTTCTTTAAAGATAAAAAGGTACCAAAACAACTCCAAAAGTAGACATTAAAGTAGCATTTTCTAGGAATGCATGGAGATTTTAGTCTTTTTCACAAATATGTTTTTCTTTTAAGCTGATAATCTAGGGAATTGTGCTACTTTAAGATTACTTTTGGCTGTCTTCTAAAATCAGTTTCTTCAGTGCTAAATATTACACCTATGACATCCTAGAAACCTGATTCGTCTTCCCTGTGGTCAGATGTTTAATGTTTTTTAGACCAAAAAATAATAATAATAATTAAATGCCTTTTGGAAAAACTAAAGCCTGAATATGTGCACATTTTAGCAGCAGCAAAGGGTTAAATAATAAATAAGAATACTACTTCTTGGAATTAAATGCAGTTTCTGTTTAGAAAGTTAAAAAAGAAAAGAAAAAGGGAAAAAGGAAAAGAAAGTAAATGAAATGAGGGCAATCTTTTATCAGAAATCAACTATTTTACATTGCTTCTGTCCCCTCCCCCAAGAATATTTCTCACTTCCAAATATTAGACTAGTTTTTCCTTAATGCACATCAGCAGGAGGGCAGTGCCACATTCTCCAACTTGGACCATAGAAAGGCAATATATTGTCACCACAATAAGTCATGCACTTCTAGCTCGTAACAGATTTAACTCACCAGTGACAAACTTTTATTTTTTATAGAGAATGTGCATCAGAGTAAAACAACATTGGAATATTAAATTTTAAAATTAGTTACATAAATCCCAGCACATTTTTTAACTGTCACTTTCAATTTCCCAACATAACTGGCTAGAAAGTGTTGTATGTAGACAAGAATTTGTTATAAATTCCTTTTTCTCAAATATTGCTTTAAGAATTTGGCTCTTTTTTCCTTATTATATAGTAAGAAATAGTCTCCCTTGCCCAAGGGCAAGTTCCAAAATTATTGCTACTCAAGAAATATGTATTCTTATGCTTTTCAGCATAAAATGTTATAAAAGCCTTGTAAAAGATATTCTATATAGTAACCTCCCCTCTAAAAAAATTGAGCGTTTGTGAAGACCATTTTAAAAAACAAAACACAGTCAACAAATATTATACTTTCCCCCTCATTGTCATTATTGATAAATATTTATTAGTTTCACTTTGCAAGTTTTCTTGAAGGGTGCTATTACCACGTAATTATGACAATTCACACTGAAAGCCATTTTCTCTAAAAGATGTTACAATGACCCCTATGGTCCTTGTATAATTTCATATTTGATAGCCAAGTGCACAAACAAAAAGTTTACAAGTATGATCCTGTTAATCTTATTTTTGTCTCTTAAAAAAATAGTCTGTGCTATGTAAGCTTTTTTTTTTTTTTTGCCTTTTTTTAAAGAATTTTAAGTCAGTACAATTTTTGATATGAGTCCTGTTGTTCTGGAGATTGGCTAAAAGCATAGTTATTGTTTAGCTTTGGTATGTTCTGCAATAGATTTAAACAAGTAAGACATATACCAACCCTCATACTTTCCAACCGTGAAACTACAGTGATGGAGTCACTTATGAGAGAGGAAATATTACAGACACAGGATAAAAGTTTGAGACCCAGTTTATCTTTAATCCTCTGGGATAAGCTATGAAACAAGCAGTCTGAAGAGTGAATACTCAGTGTCATGAGCGATGTGCATAAGTTTACAATAATACGGGCACAAAATAGATTGTCGCCTTTAGTACATTGGGGTCATTAGAATTTCTCATATCCATGCACCATTATACCTACTTGCATGAATTTACCACAGGTTCATAGCGGACTTTGCCATTTTAATGCTTAACAGAGCCTAAAGCTTCCAAAATGCCTATCTGGCCTGTACATATTTCATTAAAAATAAACTCTATATAATAAATAAATATATAAAATAAATAAAATGTTGCCTTTGGAATTTCTATAAATAAATTTAACATTTTTTTTCTTTCTTTCTTTTTTTTTTCTTTTTTTTTTTTTTTTCCTTTTTTTTTACTAAGAGGTCTTTGCTTTAAGGTCACTGGGATGATACCAGTGAGAATTAACTGAAAAAGTCTTTTAAGTAAGACTGCACCCTCCATGCCTTTGAAAAATGCAGCAATGTACCCTCGCGCAGGCCGCCAGCCAGAACCCCGAGGAGTCCAAGGGGGGCGGCCGCGCTGACACGGGATGAAGTGACAACTGATCAAAAATGGAAAAGCGTGTCTATTTCCCAGCATGCATCGGGCCGCCGTCCTGGTCCTCGAGCATCTCCCGGCTCCCCCTGCTCCCCGCTCCCCCGGAACACACGCCACGCCCCGCCCCTCGCGCGCGGACTCTCGCCCCTCTCCTCTCGCGATAGGCGGGCGAGGGGCCCTCTGCCCTCCGGGAGGACGAGCCAGTTAAGTGCAGAACAAAGTCAGCATGTTCCCATCCAAGCCTCCATCGTACATTATGCATGCGACAAAGTTTGGCAACAGTGGAGCTGATGTGATGACACAGCTAATCAATAAGAACCCGCCGCGTGAAACCTTTATAGTGGTTACTTTTTTTTTTTTTTTTAAGGGCTCAAGTGAAGAAATTTTGTCTTTTGTCAACTTTGGCTTAGAATATCCTTATATAGTTCAGGTACTTTGTCGGGGTCCACCGGTCTAGGTAAAAAATGTGTGAATTTCTGGTGCCGTTTAGTCCTGGTCCCCTCTCTCGGAGTCCCGTCCTTATTTAACGCGACATAGTACCGCCTGCCAGTGTCCACGTGCTTGTACAGGTTCGACGAGTACGTGTTATACCAGTTTTCTTCAAACTGTTCTCTGAATACACACTCTTGGGTTAGTTTTTCCTGTTAAAAAAAAAAAAAAGGCAAATAAATATGTTGCAAAATTGGCCACTTTCTGTATTAAAAGTAATATTCTGTTGCTATACAATATAACCCTGATGAGAAAGAAAATACTGATTTTTAATACATTTTAATGCATTTTGCAAAAACTGCTGAACTCTGTAACTACATTCTAATTTCCTATTCCTAATGGCTGAAGTACAGAGATTCTAAATGCCTTCCAGTTAACCATCTTCCGCATGGCCATTATGTGAAAGAGGCGGTGGCAAAAGGTGATAGCTGTTCCCACGGCAGTTACACGGTGACCCAGCTGGGAGGAAGGGACTTTGCCTGCCCGAGGCTCAGATAACCGCTTCATCTTTAATACAGGTATACTTTTTATAAAGTACTTGCCATGGAGACCAACATTAGCAAATTACTGGTGGTATCAGATATTCCTGTACTTTTCAGCAGGGTTGTTTGTTTATTACTCTCCAAGAGTGGTTTTCAAGCTTCACTGTGCAGTAGAATCACCCAAGATGATTTTTCAGATGCAGATTTCTGAGCCCTACCCCTTTAAAATTCTGATCTAGAAATTCTCAAAATATATATATATATATATATATGTGCATTTTTAACAGGTGCCTGAAAGAATTCCGATGCAGATAGTCCTCACTCCACGTTAAAATGTAATGCTTCTGTCATGACTGATGGTCTTCCTGAATACAAAGTGAAAACAAATATTCTGGCTCTTCCATTTCCTTGAATTTAGATAGAGGAAGAGACTCCCAACTAAAAAAGCCACGTTCTCAGGTACACAGATGCCAAGAGGAAACCTGTACCTATTCCTACATTCCCAGAACAAAACGGATCCCCGTCTTCTCAGACATGCTCACTTCCCTCCACCTGAGCTCTGTGAAAGCCCGGGCCTCGCTCAACTGCCCAACCTGGGGCCCCTGCGCCGTGTCACTCGTGGGCAGTGACCGCCGGGACCCAGAGCCTTGAACAGGCTCCAGGCAGACGGCGGAGTGTCTGAGCTGGGCCCTGGGGAAACAGGCAACAGGATCCACTGGCCTTTTTGCTCTTCTACTCACTCCGTTGAAACTTTTAAAATCAATACCTTCCCAGATGGTAATTTTTAAAAAGTAAACAGTAGGATGACTTCAGATAGTTCCTTTGCTCTTATCCTCCTGGAACCTTACATGAATAAGAGAACAAATAGGCGAATGCAAATAAGAGCGTTTAACAATCTTTCATTTCTGCCATTCAGACCCAGAGGACAAACAGCAAACTTTATACGTGGCCAAAATACAGATGTCCTTTTTATGTGCACATAGTTAAGAACACAATTTAATATGCTGAATTTATAGTAGCACTTGAGTAGAATCAATCTTCTCCAACTGCTTGTGGAGTAAGTCCAGAGAGCAAAGGAAAGGACAGAGGAGAGAATTTGATAAAATCAATAAATAGTCCAATCTGAGGCCTTCTCTATGTCCCTTCCCCAACCTTAAGGCTTATGACCCACGCAATAAATAGCTCGTGAGAGCTTGTGCCTCCTAACAGGTGCTCTTCAAGTGGTCAAAAGCACCAAGTAGGTTTTTAGCAAAATATTCTCTCACTGGACACATTTTTGCCAAGGGAGAAATAAGAAAAAGCAGGAAAAAAACATGTTAGGCAAGGACGAAATGATGGGAAAACTTTAGACTGCTGATGCGGAAAGCAGGCTGCATCCACAACCGGACTACTCCCATTTGGGGGTGCCTAGAGAAGCAGGCGGGGTGCACAGTGGAGAGGCACCTTGCAGGATGGGGTGCACAGTGGAGAGGCACCCCGCGACCCCTCTGTGTGTGAATCTAGAAGGGCATTCTTCTGGGGACACGACTGCCTCCTGCACTGGCGAGATCTGGCTGAATGTCATTTTCTCTCATCTCTATTAAAACTAATGAAATTTTTAAAGTGTGTTAAAGACATTAAGGTCTATTTTAGTCCTTACTACATTTGCATAATAAATAGTTTCCTTACAGGCAAGATTATTCCTGGCTAAAAATGGCTGGTTTCGGTCTGCTGTAATTAAGTAAATTTTCTAAACAAATTATGTGCATTTATTTTTTCATTAATAAAATGGACCAAAGCATGGGAATGGATGCCAAGTGTATAGTTCTACAAAGGACAGGAAAAACTAATTCAAATCAAGCTTTCTTTTTCTCAGCAGGAAATCACATCACCTGGCAAACACTGTAAAATTAATCTTTATTTTTAAAAAGTAGAACACTTCCTCCTCCTTTTGCAGCCATGAGTTGGGCACACATTTATATTTCCTTTGCACACGTCGCATGCCTATAGCACAATGAATGACCTTTCTTGGATCAGAAATAGCAACTCAGAAACCTCAGCAGAAGATAGCGAGTTTACACAATAGGAAAGAGGCTGGCTTTGGAGTCAGAGCCTACTCAAGTCCCAACTTCCCCCGGTCGCCAGCTGAAGGACATCTACACCTAGTTATTTCACCTCTCCAAGTCTTGGTAGCCTCATCTTTAAAACAGGTCAGTAATAAGTATCTTGAGACAGGGTAGTGACAAAGATGCAACCGAAGGACAGTGCTGAGCACAGAGGAAGCCCTGAATACAGGGCGGGGGTGTTGATATTATGTTAAACACACAGGACAGCAAGGCCCAGATGTGAAGTGGTTTGCCGCAGTCTTTGGGTGATAACGAGATCTCGTTATTACATAAAGAAGCCACTAGAGCAAGTCTCCCGGACCCCTACCGGAGCTGCCACACTCTTGGGACAGAGTCCTTCCGTTTTCCATTTTTCACTGACTGGGTGGTGTGATTGCTAGCGCCCCTCTCATCCCGTGAGACTTCAGATGCCATTTCCCAAGGGGCCAGCGCTGGGGAGGGTCTTATAGGCAAAGGGCTGGAGTTTGCAAAGTAGGCTCAGGAGCTGAGTGCAGTGACTCTTCTCAGAGAGGCATCCTTGCCTCTTTACATCAAAATATAATTTTCTAAAAATGCTATTCACTTTGCAGAAGGAAGGGGCACAGAGAGAAGGAAATGAGAAAGCACAAACCAAATCCTACGGGGTAGAGGCAGCACCATCTACATGGGACACTGACTTGTTTTCAGTGATTAAGAAAAGACTGTCATTTTATACTTTTATTAAGAATATGAAAAACTGCTTTCAAAATAGTGAATTAGCTAAGAAACGGAGCTGGCCTTTCGCTGCACAGCTCACACTGCTCTATGTCCCTGGCAGGCCGTGAGAGCATCGCTCACACACATAACTTTCAAGGCAGCCCAGAAAATAAAGTGAATTATTTCAATTTTAAAAAGTACAATCCGTAGTCAGCACCTTTCATGATGGTTCAGAGTCCAGTTGTCTTGTTCAGGGGAGAGCTGTATAACTTTGGTTAACAAGTTAAATGAGACTGTGCAGACATTATTACATTGCAAAACCACTGCCACATTTCAGCTCCTGCAATTACACCAATTATGCCACACTGACAAACCTGCACACTTGAAAAATTAAAATTATCATTAAAAGTTAAAGACCATGTTACTTTTCTAAACCATGTATATGCTTTTAAATATTTTTCTTCCTCTTATTTGGGACTATATCAATGTGTGGTTTTCGTTTTAGACAGAATAGCAAGATTTACAAAATTAATCTCTTTATGATCACACTTCAGTACTTAATGATAAATCATTTAGTTGTGGTGAGTATATTTATATTATATATTTCTACTCCAAAACTATTTTTCTAAATTAAAAATAAGTAAATGATTGCAAATTGGGACAACAAAAAACTATTAACCTATATTCTTATATATGTTGGAGGGGCAGGAGAGAGTGTCTGCCTTCAAATAAACTATACACTCTAGAATTATAGAACTCAGATGTTTTAAAACTCACCACATGTTTCCAATGCAGACAGTTTATAGAGTATTCCACTATAAAGTGATCAATTCTTGTTTTATTGTATTTCCATGTTTTAATTTTTTTTTTTAGATTATTTAACTATAGCTGTTTATGGCATACCTATCTTTGAACTGTTGGATTATATCACTAGGCTTGGGTGGAGAATGTGGATTTAATTCAAAAATCTACTAAAGCCCATGCTTTGGAACAAAATCTGGTGAATGTTAGCAACTATGGAAACCTCTTTTCGTTTTGTATCATCAAATTCTGAGCACTGGGAAAAACTGAAATTAAAACTTCAAAACTTTTACCAATCCTATTAAAACCGAAGTATGAGATAATAATGTGAAAATTATAGTACAGCCCAGAGAATGCTTAGGAATGTTATAAGACATAAACTTATATAGACACCATTTTAAAATATTAGACAATTTGAAAACGTGTAATCCACATGGGCATGATTATGGCCAATTCATATCTATGCCCATTTAAAAAATGAAATCAGATTTGTTTGAAAATTCAAGATTCAGTAGTAGTTCTCATTGAAAACATATAGACTTATGTCATGCTGCTATTTTAAAATATAATTTCCATATTAACACGCATATGGTGTAGCTTTAACCACACTACCCAAATGGATGTATTTATTTAACTCAGGGGTTGCTTAAACTACTTGCTACTACATTATAAACTACTACGACACGTAAACTCATGATCAGTGACTATACATTGACTTAATTGTAGAGTTCCTGAACATTTCATAAGTTAATGACTTTGATGCAATCATTCATTCTCATATCTACTGTTTATTACAGTCATGGTATTTAAACCTTCCTTAACCACAATTACTCGTACAGATGTACTCTTCTTCATTAATAATCTAGCAGCAAATCCTTAATGGGAGTTGTTGCAAGGATCAGGGTGATTAAATATAATGACTAAAGAACCATTAATAAGAAGCCAGATCTTTTAACTCTTCTCTCCTGGGAGAAGTCTCCAACTAGACAGAAAGCAACAAGCACAGAGAGAACAGGCAGGAGGGCGCTATTTTTTATTTTGTTAGGAGCCCCAGTCCAGATTCAACCCCCTGGGACCCTCAATAATATG